CTCAAGGCAACTTACTAGCCTAGACCTCTTTTCTAACAATCTTAGCGGACAAATCCCATCATCACTTGCAAACCTCACCCAACTTACCTCTCTTGACCTTTCAAATAATCAGTTTTCTGGTCCCATTCCAGCTTCCATAGGTAACTTAAGGCAACTTACTAGCCTACTCCTCTATTCTAACAATCTTAACGAACAAATCCCACCGTCACTTGCAAACCTCACACAACTTAGTGATCTTGACCTTTCAAATAATCAGTTTTCCGGCATGTTGCCACCTTGGATTTTCACCCTACCTTTGTTAGAGGACTTGTTTCTCAATGATAACCAATTTCAAGGTCAAATAAATCAATTTCGGCAAAACTCACTCACACACCTAGATTTGTCAAACAATAAACTCCAGGGCTCAATTCCTAACTCAATTGCTAATTTAGTAAATCTTAGTTATCTCAATTTATCATCAAATCATTTTAGTGATTTAGTAGTACCTGACATGTTCTCGGCACTTCAAAGTCTCGAAATTCTTGACCTTTCTCATAACAAGTTAATTAGGAAGATTCCAAATTGTCTTCCTAAGTCTCTCTCAGTGTTGAATTTGCAGGCCAATTACTTTGATGGAAATATAGCATTCAGGTTTCCAGAGGGCTGTGGATTACGAAATCTCAACCTACATAGAAATCAAATGGATGGCTTATTACCAAGGTCATTGGTGAATTGTCGCATGTTAGAGGTTCTAGACGTTGGCAACAACAACATAAGTGATACATTCCCTCATTGGTTGGAATCTCTACCACACCTTCAAGTGCTTGTCTTAAGGTCCAACAAGTTCTACGGTTCTGTGCAGAGCACCAAAGAAAGTCCATCTTTTCCCAAGTTGCGAGTTCTGGACCTCTCCAGCAATTATTTTGTTGGTGCTTTGCCTGTTCGGTACATTGAAAATTTTAAGGCGATGATGGACCCTCATAAAGATGGTGATTCCCCTGAATACATGATGGTGTCGACGAGAGCCAATTTTTATCAATATTCACTGGTTGTGACATGGAAGGGATTCGACTATGAGCTGCAGGGAATTTTGATCGTATTCAGTAGTATTCATCTCTCAAATAACAAGTTTGAGGGAGAAATTCCAGATGTTATTGGAAAGCTTAGTTCTCTCAAAGGGCTTAATCTTTCTCATAACAACCTTACCGGTCATATCCCACCGTCACTGGGGAATTTAACGAATCTGGAATGGTTGGATCTCTCTTCCAACGAGCTAGCGGGGAAAATTCCTGAGGAATTGGTATCTTTGACACAACTCTCTGTATTGAATCTTTCAAATAATCATCTCGTCGGGCGCATACCACAGGGCAATCAGTTCAACACCTTTGGAAATGGTTCTTATGAAGGAAACCTTGGACTGTGTGGATTCCCATTGTCAAAATCTTGTGACGGAATTGGGACATCGCCGAGCTCCTTCCAAGAAAAAGATGAGTTGTGGAGATTTGGCTGGAGAGTTGTGGTGTTAGGCTATGGATGTGGAGTTGTTTTTGGACTGCTGATGGGATATCTTGTCTTCCGAACAGGAAAACCCAAATGGTTTGTGTCTTTTGATGGCCGATCAAGTCAAAGTGGAAGGAAGATGAGGAAAGCCAGAAGACTTGTTCGAGGAAGAAGCTAGTTGCAGAGTTGATGTTTTAGAGCTTATGATTTAATGTTTCCTAAATAAGTGCTTTTCGGGTTTGAAGTTCTTGTTATGGCTGGCATTGGCTTGTCTAAAATTGTCAGCCTTCTCTTGTCTTTATTATGCTGTGTAATTTTGTCTTTCTTTATTGTAAAATATATTGAGAAAGTGTTTTACAATCTGGGTGGGTACGACAGCAGATTTAAAATATATGCATGTCCAATTAAGCCGGTGGGTATGATAGCAAACTGGTAGCGAAGATATGCTACCAGTTTTCGTTCTTTACAGTTTTGTTCCCATTAGCAGACTCATAAAAATTCTTGCCTCACATTGATGGGCTGAAAGGGAAATGCGGAAGTTTGAATTTTGAGATGGGATTTTGATGAATCATTTCATAAGTCTTATGATTTGGATGGTTATCGTCTTGGGGATATAACTGTAATTGTCATGTTAGGAAGGGCAAGTCTTATGATTTGGGCTTCGCTCTCTCTCTCTCGCACTCGCTTTCGGCAGCATCTTCCTTCACAGCAGAAAGAATCTAATGGAACATTATCAGCATCACAGACTCACCTCAATTTCACATCTTTAGGGTTCCTCTTCTATTATGAATCCCAACTCCTGCGTTCCTTCTGCAGCAAATCCATCAATACCCATCCTATTCTCCCTCAACCTCTGTTTTTACCTCGTCACCTAGCATGCTCAATTCCAACGAGAAGAAGGAATAGGATTGGGAAAGGGAATACAGTTTTGGTTTTTTTTTTTTTTTTTTCCTAAATTTTTATTATTTTCCTTCAG